GGGCAACTCAGGTGTGGGCAAGGTGGGCACTGTCTGCACTGTGAGTCCTCAGGGCCCCTGGGCTGGGGAAGGAAAATGAGCTATGAGGCATGAGAATCGCTTGAACCTGGGAGGCAGAGGTTGCAATGAGTCAAGATCGCACCACTGCTTTCCAGCCTGGGCAATAGAGCAAGACTCAGTCTCAAAAAAAAAAAAAAGAAGACCTTATCTGTCTCGTTTACCCAGACTCCCCAGCTGCAGCTCAGTGCCTGGCACAGAGTTGCCCACAGCAAGTTTTTGTTGAATGAATAAACATAAACCCTTCTATTAATAAAGCTGTGGCTAAGTCCTATTTATCTTGTTCTTCACCTAAGAGATGATTCATTGTCTTGCAGATACTGTGATCTTAGTTTTGTATGACTGAATTTAAAGCCTTAGAATTCGGGCTGGGTACAGTGGCTCATGCCTATAATCCCAGCAGTCTGGGAGGCTGAGGCGGGTGGATCACTTGAAGTCAGGAGTTCGAGGCCAGCCTGGCCAACATAGTGTAACCCCATCTCTACTAAAAATACAAAAATTAGTCCGGCATGATGGCAGGTGCCTGTAATCTCAGCTACATGGGAGGCTGAGGCAGGAGAATCACTTGAACCTAGGAGGCAGAGGTTGCAGTGAGCCGAGATTGCACCATTGCACTCCAGCCTGGACAACAAGAGTGAAACTCCGTCTCAAAAAAAAAAAAAAGCCTTAGAATTCTGGGGGATACCCCCATGTCACCCCTATAAACCATTCGCATAAGCCTGCCTCTAGGATGTGATCATTAGGGCACAAGCTAGCTACTCCTAGTGGGGAGTTCTCCATTCATGGAGGTGTGCAAATTTTCACATACACTAACTCATCGATCTGCCATTTCCAAGAACCCCATGGAGTCTTTGGGGTTCTCCCCTCTGATCTCGCTGGCCTCCCCGCAGCCTGCAAACTCCCTTTTCTCCCCCTCCACTTTTCTGGGCCACCACTTAAGCTTTTTTCTCAATAAGACAAATCAGTCTGTCTCAGAAGTCTAAAGGGTGTACATCAACTCAAACATAGAATTTTACTGTGACTAGTTTATCAGTCCTGAATGTATACTTAGTGACAAGCTTGGCTAATCTTTCATCTAATTACACTCATTAACATTTAAATATATAATCATTAATATATCTGGGCATGGCGGTCTAAATATTTTATAGAGGTCTTAATTACAGCAGATTTCCAGTCTTGCCATAAACCTCTCGTACCCCTCAATTAAAGGAATGGCGTCAGGTAGCTCCAGGGCCCCGGCTGGTGGATGGTGGTGGCCAGGGTCTCTCACTTTCTGGTTACACCATAGAAGCAGTGACCGTCAGTGGGAGAAGACAGGAAAATTGTTCTCTGTGAATTTTTGGCAGCCACGCCTCTGTCAGCAGCCATGCCTCTGTCTGAAGCCATCATGGGGTCCCCGGGAAGAAGGGAAAATCAAAGACAGGATCACAAAAATTAAAATGATGATTATTGCTGCAGAGGCTTTAGGGAGTTGATTTAAGAAAAAAACAACACTCACTTCCTCCTCTACTAAATTAGGATGAGTTGTGGGGGTCTCACAGGAGTCAGACAGGCAAAGATGACTGTGGATTTTGTTGATCTGAGAGCATGGCTGGGGTCCTGGGCCACGGTGTCTGGTTGACACTGAATGCTCCACCTGCAGCCCCCCAGCAGCTGCCCTCCCCTCCATTGACAGCTTCCTCACACCTTTGAAGTCTCTGTGGATTCAGAAGTTCATCTTCAGATATCGTTTCCTCCTATGAGGTTGGTGGGTTGTTATTGTGCCCATTTCACAGAGTTCAACATGGAGGCTCTGAGAAGTTGCTGGGTGTCCCGAAGGCACATGGTGGGCAGGAAGCTGAACAGGACCTGACTCCCTAGTGACCTGCTGCAAGTCTCAGCGGGAGTGAGACTCATCTCATCTCAGCAGCCATACTGGGTCCGTGAGGAGACCCAGGATGTACCTCCGCACCCTCTAGGGTGACCAGGGGCTTTGTGGAGTGGGACCACCAGGCTCCACTGCTCCCCACTGCAGCCCCATTCCATGCCCAAGCCAGCGTCCACCCCAGCCTTGCTGCACAGGGGCTGCCTGCCTGGGTATGATTAAGAGAAGGGGGACTCAGAACCAGACCTACCCAGCCTGAACCTGGCTCTGCCTCTTACCAGCTGGGTCAGTGTCATCTACCTTTGCCTCAGTTTCTTCATTTGGTTTTTCGTTTGTTCATGTGTTTGGTTTTTTGAGACGGAGTCTCACTGTCGCCCAGGCTGGAGTGCAGTGGTGCAATCTCAGCTCACTGCAACCTGTGCCCCCCAGGTTCAAGCAATTCCCGTGCCTCAGCCTCCCTAGTAGTTGGGATTACAGGCGCCTACCACCACCCCCGGCTAATTTTTGTATTTTTAGTAGAGACAAGGTTTCACCATGTTGGCCAGACTGGTCTCGAACTCCTGACCTCAAGTCATTCACCTGCCTTGGCCTCCCAAAGTGCTGGGATTACAGGCATGAGCCACTGCGCCCAGCCGGTTTATTCATTTGTAAACTGGGGAGAATGACGGCATTCTCTCTCAGGTTTACTCTGAGGAAAACTGGAATGAAAACATACAAAGTGCAGAATAATACCCGCCCTGTAGGAAACACTCAGTAAATGCTAACTGCCCCTTTCATTGTGGTTATCATCGGTTATCACGGCCGTTGCCATTATTAGTGCTGGGGAAGCCACTGCCTTTTATTATGCCAAGCACTGCCTGGCACCTCCATGGAAGCCCTTCCCCTTAACTAGCCACAGTCACACATGGACAGTGTTGTCGTGGCCTTTGCAGGACTGAGCTGGACTTGAACCCGGGACCAGCCCCATAGCTCATTTTCCTTCCCCAGCCCAGGGCCCCTGAGGACTCACAGTGCAGACAGTGCCCACCTTGCCCACACCTGAGTTGCCCTTCCTCGCTGCCACCCCAGGCGGGCGTCTCCTGACCTCATGGGGACCCACAGCCCCCCCGGTGATACAAGCTGGGTTACCACACGCACTCCCCATACACTAGGCACTGTTCCCAGGTCACTGCATATATAAAACCAGTGCTTTGAGGTCGATGCTGTTTCTAAAAGCTTTTAATTAAAGGATCACATAATATTCACATAATACACAACTCTCAAGTTTCTATCTTGGAGAATTTTTACAAACTGAATACGCAGTTTGACCAGCACCCAGATCAAGAATAGGACCTCATTCACTTCCCAGAGGCCTTCTGGGCCCCCTTCTAGCCACTATCCCCCTCCAAAGGTTCTTGCTGACTTCTAGCCACAGAGATTAATTCTGCCCCTCTGTTTTTTTTCTTTTGAGATGGAGTTTTGCTCTTGTTGTCCAGGCTGGAGTGCAGTGGTGTGATATTGGCTCACCGCAAATTCTGCCTCCCGGGTTCAAGTGATTCTCCTGCCTCAGCCTCCCGAGTAGCTAGGATTACAGGTTTGTGCCACCATGCCCGGCTAATTTTTCTGTTTTTAGTAGAGATGGGGTTTCACCATACTGGCCAGGCGTGTCTTGAACTCCTGACCTCAAGTGGTCCACCCGCCTCAGCCTTCCAAAGCGCTGGGATTACAGGCAAGAGCCACCACGCCTGGTCAATTCTGCCCCTCTTGCATCCTCTTCTCAGTACTGTTTACAGCATGTACTCACCTGTGTCTAGCTCCAGAAGCGCAACAGTCAGTCTGTGTGGCTCTTCCACGTCTGTGTGGCCATCATTCACTCATTGTCACCAGTCGAGCCATCCCACCATGTGAAGGGACCGCAGGGGGTGCAGCCATTCTCCTGATAAAGGGGAAGTTTCTCGTTTGGGGCTTTTACAAATAGTGCCGCTGTGAACTTTTTCCTGCAGGTGAACGCACAGATGCAGGCCTTTCAGACATATACCCAGGTAGGAACTCTTTTTATTCCTTTTACGATGGCAAAAATGCTGTCATGACGTGACTTGCCCAAGGTCCCCCCACATCACTCTAGTGACTGGCGGAGCTGGATTTGAACCCAGATTGTCTGGCTCTGGGTTCTCATTCGTAAGCTCTGCTCTCTGCTCCCTCTCTCCTCTCTTGTAAACTTTTCTGGGAAAAAGCTACTGCCGGCATCTCACCTTCAAGGGCCCTGCTGTGTCTGTTGCACAGCAGGGGTGAGACCAGTCCCCATATCACCAGGCCCTCAGGGCAGCTTCCTGATGGACAGTCTTGAGTAGGACACCAAAGCCCAGAGAGGGTGCCTGAGTTCCAAAGGCCATGCGGCATGCTGCTTTGCACCCTGGTGTCCTGCCTCCCTGTCCACTGGCCATTCCCTGCCCCTATCCGGCCTCTTCCTCCTCTCTCAGGACCCAGCCCTAGCCATTATCTTGCCTGCAAACGACCTCACACACCCACACGAGCCTTGAAAAATAGTTCTTGTGGTGTGAGGCATGGGGCCTGAGTCTGATGTCGCATTTCCAGAAACCTCCACTTTACCCCTCCCACTTCAACCTAGGGAATATCCGTGTTCCGAGCCCATTCCCTGCCACTATTTTTAGTAATGATTAGGAGGAAGGAGGACATTTCCTGGACTCCCCTTCAGAGGCTGGAAAACAAACACCACCCCCTCCCAGTCCCGGCCCCTCCCACTTCCCTCCTGCTGGTATACCCTCCTGGGGAGAGCAGGCAGCAAGAGCCTGGGCCCTCCACCCTCCTGGCTTCCAGGTGACCTCTGAGCTCTTCCAGGGGCAGTCCTGAGCCCGGGTGGTGGCGGGAACAGTGTGCCCCACATGCAGGTAGTACCCTGAAGCCCGCAGAGAGCCCCCAGGGCTCCCTGCAGCCCCTCTTAGGACAGACACTCTGCAGGTTTCAGTCCCTCCTCGGACTGGCCTTGCTCTTTCCAGCCCTTTCCCATTGGAGGCCCTGGCTCCTGGGTTTCTATATGAGTTCGTTTTCATGCTGCTGACAAAGACATAATGAGACTAGGTAATTTACAAAGAAAAAGAGGTTTAATGGACTTACAGTTCCATGTGGCGGGGGAGGCCGCATAATCATGGCTGAAGGCAAAAGGCACATCTTACATGGTGGCAGCAAGAGGGAGAATGCAAGCCAAGGGAAAGGGCTTCCCCTTATAAAACTATCAGATCTCATAAGACTTATTTACTACCCTGAGAACAGTATGGGAGCACCGCCTCCATGATTCGGTTATCTCCCACCAGATCCCTCCCACACAACACGTGGGAATTATGGGAGCTACAATTCAAGATGAGATTTGGGTGAGAACGTAGCCAAACCATATGAGCATCCATGCCCAAGGCAGAGGCTCTCCAGGTGGCCAGGACAGGCCATGCATCCCCTACCTCCCATCACCTCCCCGCCCAGGCTCCAAAACGGGTTCTATCCACCAGGGGTCTTGCAGCCTCTGCTCAGAACCCTAACCCTACCTGACCCTCCTGCCCTAGGGTGCTGCTTCCTTCTCGAGAGTCTGCCCAGTCCACCCTGAGATGCTCTGGCTGTTAGGCAGTCACTCTGCATGGTTAACCAGACTTTTGCGGTGGGGAGCTTTTGCTCTCATTCGATACTCATTATTCATTACTAACTGTTATCCCCATTTGACGCATGTGACAAAAGGCACTTACTCAAGGTCACAGCAAGCAAATGGTAGGGCCAGTCTGGGAGCCCAGGCCTCTGTCCGCAGAGCCTGGTCCTTCAGCCATGGATGGGCCCAGATTTCTCCTGCTCCCTCTTCCACAGACACCCGCTCAGGTCAGCAGTCAGCACCCAGCCGAGCCCATGGACACAGTTGAATGTGTGATCAGTTGCCAATGTGGAAACACTGGGAGACGTTTAAGGCGTTGTGCTTTTTTTTTTCTTTTTTGAAAGTTCGGATCCTTTATTGGGGGATGTCAGCAGAGAACACAGGAGATGAAAACAAGTCTTAGGGGGTTGAGAAGGGGCTCCCAGGACAGGCTGCTCTGCTCTAGTGAGCCTGTTGTGGAGAATAAGCAGGGCCCCAGCCTGGTGTGCCTAGGGGTGTGGTGAAGGAGAGGTAGTCCCTAAGGGCACCCCACCGAGGCTGGTAGATCTGGAAGATGGTGATCCAGGAGGTGAGCTACTATCACCCAGAAGATGAAGCCCACAGCTGAGCGCCAGACATAGCCTTTGATTTGGCTCTGTTCTATGTAGGCCGGGACAAGGAAGGCCTCTCAGAAAAACCAGAAGATGTTTGGTTCTCGGAAAAGCCATCATCCGGAGTTGGGAATTTTCTTGAAAATTTGGAAGGTGTGCCATGACTGGGCCCCATTAGGTCAGTTGCAGAAGAGCCTCCCCTCTAGAGGGGTGGGTGTTCTAGGTCCCCACTCATCCACCTGTCTGACTCATGATCGCTGGTTTGTTCTGTGCACAGCTGCGAGTTTCCCCTGGTTGGTCCTGGATCCCTCAGCTGGAGAACCTGGGAAGGGGCAGATTAGGATATTTGGAAATGGTGAGCACTGAGGCTCTGGCAGCCCGCTTAAGCCTCCACGTGTTTGCCCTTTCCTTGACCTGCCGAGGGCTGTGCTGAATGCCGGCTCCTGGAAACAAACGAGGCCCAGCCCTGCCTTCGGGTGGTCTCTGGGCTAGTCTTGAGGGTGGGTAGGTCCTGAGCTGAGGGTCTGGTTTCCAGGCTGCTGGTGCCGATTCCTGCAGGCCGGACAGTGGATGGGCAGGGCCATGATCACGCATGACATGAGCTGTGGGCTTAGAAATCCGGAACAAGCCACATTGAATTCTCAGCAGGTTATGGGGGAGCGTTCAGGGGAGAGAAAGAGGCGCTTGCTTCATTAAGCATTTCCCACAATAAACGCACAGAATACATAGTGTTAGCTGGTGGGCAGTTCAAAGGAGAGTAAAAAGAACAGAGAAGGGTGTCCAGGGAAGAGGTTGCTGAGAAAGGCATGTTTGAAGAAAGAGGAGGTGGGAGGAAGTGAGGCACGTGGGTGGGAGGGGGAAGGGAGGAGGGCCTTCCAGGCAGAGGGAGCAGCCTGCAGAGGTGCTGAGGAGGGAGGCCTGTGTGTGCAGCTAGGAGGCCAGGGCAGCTGCCCCGGAATGTGAGCCGGGGGAGGAGGGGTACGGGACCCGGGGACAGATCTTGGGGGGCCCTTGTGGACGGTTGGAAGGACTTTGCACTCCCGCTTGAGGGAGACAGGAGCCGTGGGAGAGAAGCAGAGAAGTGACATGGCCTGAGCTGCCTTTGAAGGGGACCGCCCCACGGCAGGGTTGACGTCCACTAAAGGGTTGGAAAACCAGGTAGGAGGCTACTATGTGACCCAGATATGAGGGTGGGGGTGGTGACACAGCCCAGGAGGGAGAGCAGGGTGGTGACTGAGGAGTGGTAGGAAGGGGCCAGGTCCTGGTGCCATGTTGAAGGTAAGCTGGCATGGTCTGTGATTAATTGGGGGTGGGGTGTGAGAAATGTCGGGGAGGGGGTCTAGGAAGATTCCAGAGTTTGAGGCCAGAGCAACAGGAAGGCTAAGGCCACCATGAACTGGGCTTGAAGGGACTGAGAGGAGCAGGCTCTTGGGGACTAGGCAGGGACTATCTTGGATGTGTTAAGTGTGAGTTGCTTTTAGGGGTTCAAGCAGAGGTGTGGATGCTCTGGGCTCTGGGTCTGGAGTTGAGGGATGAGGTCCAGGCTGGAGCCTGGGGTTGGACTGAAGCCACCAATGCCCAGAGGTCAGAAGGGAACAGGGTCCAAAATGGAGCAGGCGGAGATGAGAGGAAACCGGGAACACGGTCCCTGGGGGCCAAGTGAGGACTTGCCATCACCTGCGTTGCCTGCTGAAGGCAGAGCTCATCAGATGGAGAATGTGGGTTCACCCTCAGAAGTCGCTGGTGACCGGCATGGAAAAGCCAGGGCTGGTCCTAGAGAGGATGGGAGGAGGGAACTGGAGACTGCCATGTAGTCAGCCCTTCTGAACATTTTTCTTCCAAAAGGATGAAGAGAAATGGAAGGAGAGCCGGAGCAGGACATGGGATCGCATGGGGGTTTTCTGTGAGAGAGAATCGCATGTTCCTCTGATGCAGAGAAAAATTCAGTAGAGGGCACATGTCAAGTGCTGAGAACTCAGATGGCCCGAGGAGCCTCTGGTAGCAAAGGGGAGGCCTCAGTTTCTGGTGGAAGGGAAGACACAGCAGCAGCCAGGCTAATAGCAGGAGGGTAGAAGTGGGAAGCACAATGCCTGGGGTCTCTCCCCAGCCCTGGGCACCTTAAAATTTGAGCACCCCGAATCAGCAGAAGCTTTGGTCTGCTTGAGTCTTCTCATTCCTGGCTGAGATGTGGACACAGTTCGCCCAGCCCAAGGCAGCTTAGAACTTCAGCCAAGCCATGGCCAGCTCCGAGATCACAGGACTGACGCTCAGGGTTCTGTCGGGAGGCACGGGAAAATTAGCATGACCTGCCCCTCCCAGAGAGGGCAAGAGGAGACAAAGAAAAACAAGATGCCCTCTGCCCTCAGGGCACAGGGTCCTGCCGTCCCTGGGGCTGTCCACCTCATTCAGTCATTCAAGAGTCACTGTTTCCTGAGTGCTTACTATGTGCCAGGCACTGCGGTGGTTATGGAGGATAGGTAGTTATGGAGGACAGAAACAGGACAGGTCCCTGCTGTCCGGGGGCTTATACCACTGTTTGGGAGTGGACGTGAAAATCAGTAAGTCAGTAATCCTTCACTTACCTTTGGCCCAGTTGAGGGAAGTCAGGTCTGCTGTTTCACCCTTAAACATGCTGTTCGGAGTTTGTTTGCCACTGTGTCACTGGTGTGAATAGACTCGTTTTCTACCAGTTGAGAAAATTGGTTTTCACTCTTTTGGTTAAGTAGAGTTGGCCTTGGTTCCATGGAGTATGCTGGTGATTGGCACAGCACTGACCAGAATAGTTCTCCAACATGCCAGCCCCGACCAGGCACTGCTGGCATCTGCCTCCCTGTCCAGGGCAGAGCTGGCAAATCTACCGTTTCCCTTCTGTACCGTGGCAGACATCCCTAATCAACCCAGCTTCCCAGGGAGTCTAGTTGATTAGTCATGTCTGCCCTGGCGTAGTACTGGAAAATAAGCTATTCCAGATACTTGCTTTTCCTGCTCCAGGCAGGGGGTTGGAAAGGTCATGCTGACTAACTTCCCAGGGTGCACTTGGAGAGAGGGTCTGTGGGGCATCTGGAAGGATCAGAGGCCTGAGCATCAAAGTTCTGGGGTCAGGTTCCAGGTCAGCCACTTGTTGGCTGTGCGAGCCAGTCAACTCACATCACCTCATGGTGACACGATAAAGGAAATTAACATTGTGAGGAGCAGACCAGGCACGGTGGCTCACGCCTTGTAATCCCAGCACTTTGGGAGGTTAAGACAGGTGGATCACTTGAGGTCAGGAGTTCAAGGCCAGCCTGACTAACATGGTGACACCCCATCTTTACAAAAAATATAAAATTAGCTGGGCATGTTTGGTGGGCACCTGTAATCCCAGATACTCGGAAGGCCAAGGCAGGAGAATTGCTTGAACCTATGAGGCAGAGGGTGCAGTGAGCCAAGATTGCACCACTGCATTCCAGCCTGAGCAACAGAGCGAGACTCCATCTTAAAAATATATATATAGAGAGAGAGAGAGTGAGGAGCAGCAGAGCCACCTCAGGTCAGAGCCCAGACCAGCCAGCCACGTCCACCTCTCTGACCAGGTCCAGCTCGGGCATATTTTTCCCGGCTGCCACTGATGCCTGCCACTCATTGGAATCCTTGCGTCAGGTTTTCACTCACACCCGAGCATCACCTGATGTGACGAGAACCTGATTAACCTTTATAAAGCAGGTTAAACTCTAACCTCTGCCGAACTCACCTTACTCATCTTGGAAACAGGAAAAAAACAAACTGGTGTCTACCCATCCCGGGACCATAAATCTGTGGCCTTGAACCTGCTGCCCTCAACTGGCCCTTTCCTTCTCCCTGATCTGGGTCTATTCCCCGGGGCTCTTTACTGTGAAACCAGCCTGTTGCTCACATCAACCTGTCTTTTCTGGGGCCTCCTAGAACCTGAGCTCAGGCCTGGGGAGCCGTGGGGAGCTGGAAGACTAGAAGAGAGGCTGACACTGAACACCTGCTGTATGCAGCTGGGCTCTGTCCTGTCACACACAGCCTTGCCAGGTAGAGATGACCATGTACAGCTTAACAGCTGGGATGGGGAAGCTCAGAGGAGTTGCTTGTGGGGTCTCAGGAACCCCCAGCTACTAAGGAGCAAGTGGCAAAGGTGAGGTCTCTTGAGATACCAGAAACTAAAAGGAAGCTCACAGAATCCAGCACCCTCATGATGCTGGGATGCTGGGGGGAAACTGAGGCTTAGAGAGGGGGAAAAAGGCAGCACCAGAACCCAGGACCACCCCAACTCTGAAGCTTTATCTTTCTGAGGCTCTCTTCTCCCAAAATGCTCAAGGTCAGCACCCCACAGTCACTCAAGACCAGACAGCTTGTCCCTTATGGGGACAGAAATGATTATACGGTTGCCAGCCTTCTGGATCCATGGGCTCCTCATCCGTGAATTCAACCAACGACGGATCAAAAACAATTTGGAAAAAGAAGGATAGTTGTGTCCGTACTGAATATGTGCAAGAAATATTTCTTGTCCTTCCTCTCTAAACAATACAGTGTAACGACTGCTTACACAGCAGCTACATTGTATAAGGTGTTATAGATGATCTAGAGATGATTTACAGTACAGGGGAGGACGTGTGTACATTGTATGCAAATACTCTGTTTTATTGGGGACTCGAGCATCTGTGGATTCTGGTATCTGGGGGAGCTCCTGGAACCAATGCCACATGATACCGAGGGACAACTGTACTCTCAGGTGCCGTTCTGCAGATGAGGAAACTGAGGCTTAATCAAACTTAGATTAAGCCAGTGCTTCTAACTCAGGTGCCTTGGCCTAAGAGTCTGGAGACCTCAGCTGATTCTCTGTGCATTGGGCATTCTTGCTCCTTCTCTGGGCCTCAGTTTCCCCATCTGTAAAGGAAAGCAGAATTGGAAGAACTCCGAGAGCCTCGAATTCCTGTGGGTGTTTATTCAGAGGTTTGAGCTCCACAGACTGGTCTGTCAGGCTTTCTGGCCCCCACCTGCCCACCCCTCATTTCGCAGAATGTAGACTGAAGGTTCCACGGGACAGGAATGTTGCGTGGAAAAAGAAAGGGGGCCCCCTGCTGGCAGCAGCTGGGACCGTCTGACGTGGCCTGATTCCATTTTGCCTGCCAACTTCCTCCTCACCTCTGAGCCCACCCTCTGAGTCCAGGGTCCACCCAGGCTGGAAATTTTTACCAGCGTTCCTGACCTTGCCACATCCAGGATTGGGCCCACAGTAGTTTTTTTATCTGTTTGTTCATTTGAGAGGGAGTCTCGCTCTGTCACCCAGGCTAGAGTACGATGGCACGATCTTGGCTCACTGCGACCCCCACCTCCCGGATTCAAGTGATTTTCCTACCTCACCCTCCCGAGTACCTGGGATTATAGGCACTCACTACTGCACCTGCTAATTTTTGTTTTTTTAATAGAGACAGGGTTTCACCATGCTGGCCAGGCTGGTCTCAAACTCCCAACCTCAGGTGGTCTGCTGGCCTTGGCCTCCCAAAGTGCTGGGAGTGGCTTACAGGTATGAGCCACCGCTCCTGGCCGGGCACACAGCGTTTTAAGCTCAGACTAATGGGAAACCTGACTATGTGTACGGAATGAGACTCTGTCTTGGGACAGCATCGTGGCGGGGAGGTAGGAAAGGATTTTTTAAGGGCTGCTAACTTCCACACACACCCTTCTTCCAGCAACCACGGAGCAGTTAAGGGGTACACACCAGAATGTTAAACTGCCTTTAATGGAAAGCTCAGAAAGCCCTCAGCGGGGAGGGGGAGGGTAAGAGCTGCAGAAACAGCCTCTCACAGCGGATGGGCCCGGTGCAAGCATTTGGGTCATCCGCCGGTTTTATGGCTGGATGCAGTGGTGACACTGTTTGCAGTGCTGTGCACTGATGGGAGGCTGATGAACGAGGGTGGGGGACTCGCTGTCAGACAGCCTAGGTTCAAGGCCATCATCTGCTACTTTAGCTGTGTGGTTCTTGGTGCATAAGTTAACCCCATTAGCCCATTTTCTCTTCCGTAAAACAGGTTCGACCCCATCCCCAGCACAAGGTCCTTAAGAGCGGGTAGGACTGGCGTGTAGTCACCACCTGTGCCGTCACTGCGGGGGTGGTTTGGGACTGGAGATTTGGGAGGCAGAAGAGCAGTGAGATTAGGAGGGTGGGTTCCAGGGCCAAGTGAGCTCTGCCACTCCCCACCAAGTCAGCGTCCTTCATCTCCCCGGGTGCCTACTTCCTCATGTTTAATATGGAATGTCTCCATCAGGTAGTTGTGAGAATTAAGTGATAAAACCCGTAAGGGGCTTAGAGCAGTGTCTGGTACTTCTGAATGTCACTATGTGGAAATCTTTTCCCTATCTGGGAAGCCGAGGTCTGGAGAGGTTAAATGGCGTGCCTGAGGGCTCACAGCCAGGGCAGGAAAGCACATTCCTGAACCCAGCCTTGCAGCATTCTACCCTGCTGTGCAGCCTTGGCCAAGACCATGACGTGTTTGTGGGGTGTCCAGCACACCTTCACTGCGGGGCAGCATGGGGCCAAGTGAGGTCTCTTGTGATCTCAGAAGCTAAAAGGGGGAGGGCACATTAGTTCATGCCTGTAATCCCAGCACTTTGGGAGGCCGATGTGGGCAGATCACCTGAGGTCAGGAGTTCAAGACCAGCCTGAACAACATGATGACACCCCATTTCTACTAAAAGTAGAAAAATTAGCCGGGCATGGTGGCACATGCCTGTAATCCCAGCTACTCGTGAGGTTGAGTCAGGAGAATTGCTTGAACCTGGGAGGCGGCAGTTGCAATGAGCCGAGATCAAGCCATTGCACTCCAGCCTGGGCGACAAGAGCAAAACTCCATCTCAAAAAAAAAAAAAAAAAAAAAGAAACAGAAAACAAAGAAGCTAAAAGGATACTCACAGAATCCAGCACCCTCATTACGCTGGGATGCTGGGGGGAAACTGAGGCTTAGAGAGGGGAAAGTTAAGAGCCTGTTCCTCAGTCCCAGGTGTGGCTGTCACTGCACACACTGCCTTGGTGGGTAAGGAGAAAACCCTTTGTACTCAAAATCACCCTTTAAAATCCCTTACTCCCCAGGCCCACAGACCCCAAAGGCCGAAAAGCCAAGAAAGAACCTACACTGTTCTCCATGCATGGTGGCTGTGGCCTCCTCTCCCTTGGGCGTTGGAGGTGAGGATCTGGTTTGCCCAGGGGGAGCAAAAATGTAACTGCAGAGACCAGTCTTCTCTCTGGTCTGTGCCCACCAATAGTTGCACCTGCAGGAGTGAAATGTGGACCTGACTCCACTCTGCCATGACCCACATCTAGGTTAGAGGCTGTGGCATCCAAAGCCAGGGAAGGAAGAGGGAAGAGTCATCAGTGGGAGCTGGAGGGCAAACTGAATGTCGCTTCCTTGTGAGCACGACAGAGCCAGAGGCACCTTTGTGTCGTTTTTAGTTATTCTCCACCAGGCATTCATTCCTAAAGATTCAGCTCTCATGTTTTCTCAGTCTTTGGCCTGGCAGGGCCCAGCCTAGAGACATGCCATCATTGTGGGGCCACAGCTGGGCCCCCAGTCACACCCTCATCTCAGGCATGCCTGTGGTCACCTCTGAGTTGGAAAAATAAGTCTCTCCCTACACACCCTCCCTCCTGCCACCAGGGTCCCCACATTCCCAGGAGCGACTGGTCTCATTCCATGGTCCTGCAGGGCCTGCTGGGCATGACATCACCAGTCACCATGGCAGTGGTTCCAGTGGCGTGGCTGCTGGAATAGGACCCGTATGGGTGAAGCTATATGCCTGGGAAGGCGCGCAGAGCCCTGGGGAGCCAGGGGCTGAGTCAGGAGGCCGGTCCCAGAAAAACACAGCCATGCCTTGCAGGCTGGCAGCTCATCTTGCATTAGGAGCATTTGGGGACGATCAGAACAGGTTT